TTTCCCAAGGACACAACGTCGGGCCCTTGACGGGATTCGAACCCATGACCTTACGGTTGCGAGTCCGAGAGCCTAACCACTAGGCCACCGACGCCACCAATTTTTGTGTTGTATTTGTAACTCTCTTGTAACACCTCTATTCTTCGGCACTTCATTGACCTCGTTATGTTGCACGTGCCGTAAAACTCTTATAAAACTAAAGTAATGAGCAAGGTTCTTTATGAATGGAAAGCATTTGTACAGTGTAAATTCCCGCTCTACAGCAAGCTCTATGCGCTTCACAATCTATACTTTTACCCCAGCAGACCTGAGAGCATTCTGAAACAATCTCAACTTCCTGGGAAGCATACTGTGCAAGCAGCCATTTATAGGCGCTAAAACACGAACATGTTGACAAGATCTTTCGCTTCACACTGCAGTCCAGTGTGAGACTTACTTGGTCATGGTAACAAGGTAACACTTGGTAATATGTAGCCTACATCTCTACATATTATATTTTGTGGAAGTTCGTCACTTCGGCGCCTATAACTTCCCAACCACTTAACTTTCGAACTTGACAAAATTAATGGTGGTTCAGAATCATTGAAAGGGTGCACAGTTTTACTGATGAGTCTGAAGTCACTGTAGTTTAATGTTCAGTTTTTCATTCGTTTCGTTTAGATCTAATCTTGGAAAAGTCCGTCTTCTAAGACGTCATTGTAAACAAGTGAGGTTTTCGTTCACTCACCGTGTGCACCTTTGAAATTCTGGAGTATACAACCTCGAAAGTGGAACAGAGAATCAATCTATACATCTATTATTTATTTGTCAACTTAGAAACAAATACGTCACTTTTCTCTCAAGATTTATTGCTCCATTCCAGTAGAAAGTAATTAATGTAGTAGGCCAATGACGTTCAGTTGATGTTAATGCACCGATCATTCCTATCATCGAAAGGGCACCCAGATAGTATAATAATATTATATAAACTACGTTTTGGAAGTTGTGCTGGTTAGACCATAATATGTGAGGCGTGCTGACAAAATGAGTTACTTCTCGGAAATCCACAAACAGAAATATTGGCCAAAAGTCGACACTGTAGGGTCCGATTAGTAGATTTTCTATTGATACCACATTCTTTTTGTATAACGTACCTTTTATTATTCCATACTTATAAATCGTAAAAACTTCACCTAATCGCGTGATGTATCTATTTCCATAAGGCTTGGATCCGAGAAGTAACTCATTTTGTCAGCACGCTTTACATATGTCTCTGATGGGACGCACCAAATAGACCAACAGCATTCAAAACTGCTCAAGTAAAAATATCATTTCTAGTAAGTCCACTGCAGTCCAGTGTGAGCCTAACTTGGTCATGGTTACAAGTTCCAACCCTGCACACTTGACAATTCATAGCCTGTGATAATAATACTAGCTGGGCCCCTTTTCGATGAAAGGAATGGTCGGTGCATTAACATCAACTGAAAGTCATTGGCCTACTAACTATATTTTTACACTCTACTGGAATGGAACAATAAATCTTGAGAGATGCAAAAAATTAGAAGGTCTAGATCTGTACTCGGGCAAAATTCAAAATTTATTACCAACTATAAATGTTTGGTGTGTCCCGCGCGCTCATATGACCTTATACAGCAGCGAGCACCGTAAAACACTTACCCCCAAAAAATATTATTTTGTTTAATCCATGTATAAAGCAGAAAGAATAACTACCATAGCTATTTGTGTCTTTGTATTTTTAAAATATAGAAACCAGTTCCGTTCTATCTGCTCAAGATCCTAGTTTTGAGAAAGTTGACTGTAAATAGTGTTCGCGTAAGCTTCCCAATAAGTCTATCTTTTTTCGAAAACAATAATATCCCTGAATATCTTGAGAATGACTCTGAATAATCTTACGATTTTGAGACACCCATGGTTCTGTTCGGTGTTCAGTTCACCACTGACTTACTTCCTGCTTCAATCTTACCTGACCCCCAAAATACAGGTCTTTTTTTTCTAATGTGTGTATGTGTGTGGGAAGGCGGCCCCCGGGGAGGGTGGGGGGTGGGGGGAGTGAGAGGAAGACCAAGGGGGTTGGAGGTTGAGGTAAGGTGGGGTGGTGGTTGGGGGGAGATCAGTATGAATGATAGCAGGTCAGTTTCACAAACCACTAGATCTAGATGCCACTGGCGATAGCCTACATGAAATTAAAACAAGAAGAAATTCTCCTGATTTACAGACGGGTTGATTCTTTTATTGTGTTTTCAACTTTATGTAAATGAACTGAGTGCCGATAACATTGTCTTACGCTGACTGAGACATCGGTGTTTCTGTTCCAGTATCGAAATGAGACACATTATAATAAAATAAATTATGTTGTTCCTTCACCTCGGTACATGTACACGTTTACTCTAACTAGCTAACAAATAAAATATTCCAGCTCTAGATGGGCATAGGACAAGAATGGATGGGCCAACTTGTTGGTCTTGCGGGAGAGAGAAACAACCAGATAAGACTGGATTGTCGTTTTGATTAGTTTGGGGTAAAGCACAACTAGATAGGACTGGATGGCCTTTTGGTATGTCTGAGCGGACAGAAGACAACGAAATAGGACTGGTTGAGTCTGTTTGTGTGTGAGTGTAGGGAAAAGGACAACCAGATAGGACGCGGATTATTGTTTGGGTAATCTGGAGAAAATACACACACACACACACACACA